CCACACTAGCTCCGCGTCCACACTAGCGTTTTCAGAGTTCTGCGTCCACGTTGAAACGGCCCAAAGCACCTACGTTCCAGTCCTGCGCATGCGTCACATGACTAAAATGCGTCATGGTTTTAGGAAGTCTGCGTTTTAGAGTGTCCACACTGCGACGGGGCAGCTCCGTTTTGAAATGCATGCGTTTCAAACGCTGCGTTTTTCCTTGAGGACAACGCCGTCTCAGTGTGGACGGGAGGCCAAAAAGGAGAGAAAACGATGCGTTTTCAAACGAAGTAGCCTAAGCTTTCCAAGTTCACAAAGGTTTTTCACCTAGTCTATTTTTCTTTGGTGGTTTTTTTTTAAAGTTTTGATTATTTATAACACCCCTGCCTCTAGCCCCTGGCATCAGGGGTCAAGACATTTTCATCCAGAGAACTGAACTGACTGAGTAGTTTCTGTTTTTCGGACCATTCTCTGTAAATCCTACACAGCAAAAACTCCAGTGTTAATTTAACACTGGAGTTTTTGCTGTGTAGAGATTTTTCCTCCAGTCTGATGCTCACTGTGAACCTGAGTCTTGTCCATGTCTGTATGTGTAAATGCATTTAGTTGTTGCCTTATGATTGGCTGCATTGAGCTAACATGTATGTGAACAGAAAAGGAATGTGTAGCATTACCGTGATAATATAAACGTTACATTCATTATACTTTAGGCTGCCTTTGTCAGCTTGTGCGTGCCACATTATAACCAGCGTATGAATTTATGTGTGTGGTGGTCAGTGCCACAATGCTGAGTTTATAGTATCATACATTTCCACGTAGGTCTAAATGGAAGATTGGATACAGATTGGGCTGTTTTTCATAAAAAACACCTGATAAAGTTAAATAAAGCACAGGTAATCCACCTGAAATGGGGTAAATCTATGTCAGCGCCTTCTTTTAACCAACGCCGGACAGGTTTCAGGCCTGCTGTGATAAAATAAAGAAACTGAATTTTATAATCACACTAACAAACAGCATTGTTGTTTGGTGAAAGGTGATACTGGCTATGATAAAAGAATTTAATAAAATGTAATTTAAGTATCACCAAATATAAATGGGGACATACAATATTTGTGTATTTGGCAATGACTTACTGAAGTCTTAAAATAGTTATGAGAGTTAGAGAACGGGAAGTCCCGTTCCTTTTTTTTTTTAATTTTTTTTTTTTTAATGTTGACTTCCACAAAAAAGTTGTTGTGCTCAGCAAGATTACAGCAGCAAAGATGCCGTTCTCCAGGCCCGCTGAGGTTACTCTAACTGTATTACGTGTTTGTGCATGTCCATGTTTGGTGTTAGATTGTTTATTTTGTTTAGTTTTGTTAATATTTCTAGTATAGTGGATTAAACATCTCCCTAACATCTGTATAAATTATATTTAGAAATTTTACAATGCACTTTTTCAGATTTTAAGGTATATGCACACACAGGCACACGACTTTAGATCCTCCTAATATCCATGTAGTCTGAGGGATCTCAGATGTCTGCATACACCTAGCAGTTGGATCATATCGAGGTCGAATCATAAATCATAAAATGGGTCAAACACATTTTTGATTTGATTTTTTCTGGGTGATTTATGTGGTCTTTTTAGTTTCACAAAAACCTGACCTTTGACCTTGAGGATCAAAATCATCAATACACAAACTCATCCTCGATATTTGGTAGAAGAATCTGTGGTAAGGTTTGAAAATCCTACATCACCTCATTTGAGTTCGCAAAGTTGGGTGCCTGTGCTCACCAACATCCACTGGCCAGGTGGGTTGATGACAATTCCACCCCACACCCACAAATCTGCCCAAGCTAACGTGGAGCTGCCTGCTATGGTGACTTGCTGTAAAAAA